CATAGAGAGTGGAAAACCCAAACATGGTCACAAATCAGCCCCACCCAGCTGCTGTTTAAGTGATCGCTTTACGTGGGGCAGCCAATCAGAAGAAAGCAGGATTAAAAAGGCTTAAAAATAGAGTGACCTTAAAGGGAGTGTTGCTCTTTGTGTCACACTATTTGTAAGAAAGATGTATTTTGTTAAATCAAACAAGTGATCTGTAGATAATTATGCTCACATTTTCCCAAGTATCAGACAAGTTTAGTTGATAGCTGCCCTCACCCGTGCCAGGATTTTAATGATGGATGTCAGAGCTGAGATGCCCATAAATGCAAAAGGCTTTTCTACACAGCGTCCAAGTACCGTGGCACACAAATGAAGGGCCGCTCTGTTTAAAGAGATAAATGCGGATAAACGCACAAAATTTGCTTTCAGATGTGGGAAATGAATCATATTTCTCACGCCTTTTTCTCATCATGCAAACAGAAATATTTCCTTGTTTCCATGACACCTGGAGCAGGGATGTGTTGTCATTTTTGTGATGACACGTAAAGATGGAAAGGAGCCTCGCCCTGCTGTGTCTGTGTCACCTGACTTTGCTTCGGAAGGCTTCACATGACATAGTTTTATTCTTTTTGGTTTATTGTCTAAACATCACCAGGCAGCGTGTTGTGGTGTCAAAGCACACCACCTTGTGAAATCAGGCGAAGCGACTTTGTTGACGTCTGGTTAAATGACAGTGTTAGACTCGTGCATGACACCAGTGTTACATGTTTTATTCTTTCATTTTATATTATGTCCATTCGTCTTTCTTTCTTTTTTTTTTACCTTCTGTGGCGCATTGATGACACCGATGTTATATCCAAACTCCAAAGATCCAAGGACAGCCGTGAAGACTGACAGAGCGAGGGTTCCAGTCACTGTCTGCAGCAGAAACACGCACACACACACACACATAGACACACACACACACACACACACACAAAGAAGTGAATTACAAATAATTTGTTTTTCAGAACAGTGAATAATCCTGAAAGGTGTTTTCATAACTGTAACAATAAGATAACTGTTGGACAACCACGATTATCTTTTTAACTCTCACTCTCTCTCTCTCTCTCTCTCTCTCTCTCACTCTCTCTCTCTCTCTCTCTCTCTCTCACACACACACACACACACACACACACACACACACACACACACACACACACACACACACACACACACACACAACACTGCTGCTCAGCTAACGTCAACTATATATATAACCGTGATCCTGACTAGAGACAATCTCTGCAGTGCTGTTCATGACTTCTCTGACTACTTTCATGTCGACGCCTGAACTTTAGCTTCCCTCCAGTTTCCCATCAGCCCTCTGCCACCTGTCTGCAGGGTGACAGACAGGATGACCTTGGGGAAAATGAACTTCTTCCACTCCAGCATGGTTATAAAATTTTAAATTTCATTTATTTATAGGTCTTTTGTGCTTTTGGAGTTACGCCGCCTGTAAGATTTAAGTCTGTGATGAACTGTTGGATGAACACACAAACACAGACGGGTACTGTCGAAACAACGAGCTTCCTGAAAAGTTTTTTTTCCCATTTTGGTGACGTGGGCTTATGGACTGATACAACAGCAACATGATGCTGGTGATGCTGGTAAAATTTGCTGGACCTAATTTGACCCCGCAGCTCTGCTCAGCCACCTTCTGCAAATATGTTGTCCGTGTAAATCTGTAACTCTTGACCTTGCTGAGTTGAGCTTTTGATAAGTGCTGCTTAACATTCACAAACCACAACAAAGAGGTGTGTAGTGGTGAGCGTGTGCGTCCTTGTGGAAAAGGTAAAGTGCCAGAAGTGGCCACTAATGTTTCATTACACATCCCGCACTTCACTGCATGCACACTTTGCAGTAAATTTCCAGGCATTATGCATGAATCTGCACCTGCTTGTATTTACTGTGAGATACAACACAAGCCCAGATTAAACACAAAACTATCTCAGGTTGTGCAGGTTATCTCCGTCTTTAAGTGATTTCAATAGAGACAAGCACATGACTGCTTCTTCCCCTTTTCAGATTTTATGCTTAGGGGAAATATTTTTGCATTAAACACAAACACACACACACACGTACGTACGCACACACACACCACATCCCAGCATAGTTTAGTCTGTTTCCAGTTTATTCCCAAAGGGGAAACTTTGGGAATTGTTGCCTTAATTCCAGCGTGGATAGCAGCCTATTCTTCCTATTAATAAGATGATGGAAATCTACATCAGGGGAAAGTCAGGCTTAAAACCAGCACTTAGAAACGATTTCTCCAATGGAGTTTGAGCTGGGCAGTAAACACAGAGTTTGTTTATGAAGGCGGTGGCCTGTCATAAGCTTGCAGTTACGAGGCCTGACTTGTAAACTCAGTTTTGGCCGCTCAAGGTCACCACTAAGGACAGAAAGGCTTCCCCCTCTCTTTGAAACAGAGTTACTCAAAGCTTCTTCTAGATTCATGACTTTCTCAACATTCGGATTTTGCCTTTAAAATTCTGTTAAAAGTGTATAACGGCTCATGGGATTATTTTAAAGAAGCGCACTACAATCAGGAGATATTTAAAGGTTTCAGGTCAGGAAAAAGTGCTGTGCGTAAAATCTTTCCATAGCTGAAAGTACACATTGCAAAGTTCACAAATAACGGCTATCCCTGCAGAAACTTTCTAAACAGGCACAGCTAGATTAACAAACTGTTTATAACAAACTCCAGAAGAAATTACCTCCGCTCCAAGCTGCTGAAACCCGGCCGGCATGATTTTGGCAACTCCTGGCTCCCAGTAGGAGTCTGGTGATAGATGCGTCTGGTGCCAAACGGAGACAAACCCGGGCGTCTTAAAACTGGAGCACTTTAGCACTGAAATCGAACCGAGCTACTAAATCCAAAAGAGAAGAACAAAGAGCTCTGGTGCGTTGTGCCCCGCAGGTTGTCCTCTCTCCTTTGAAGTTTGTGTTGTCTGTCCAGCTGTTAAAGAGTTGACACCGGCATACCCACGTGCACGCCTCTCAGGAGAGGGGCGGGGTGGGGGGTGGGTGGGGGGGAGGCAGACGCAGAGAGGCCCTGCAACAGAGGTCAAGACGCAAGCGGGAAGCTCTCCTGACCTAATCTATCTTGGGCCGCAGAGGTGGTGGTGGAAGGAGGGTGGGGGTTGGGGTTATTTAGAAGAGGTGTCTGGTTTTTATTATGGTGCTAAGAGATGAAGAATTAAATAACAAAAGGTGTGATTACATTTTCAGATTCCTGTTTAAATCAACAATAATTTATCATTCTCTGGAGCCGTAAGCCAGAGCGACGCAGAGGCCCAAATTTGGTCTCATTTTGGACCGTTTTCATGAGCTTTGTTACGTAATGGCCATAGATCCCCACCCCCCACAAAGAACGATAAACTCAATCTGCAAAGCATGTGCAAAGATGCTTCTCCCTTATCACTGACAGCTCAAGGTTAATCACCTCATTTCTGGACCTGCAAATGGAGGACACACAGTTGTGGAGATGTTAAATGTCAGGTGACCTAAAAGTCGGAGTCCGCCATTATGACTCAACTTCCCTAATGGGAAGTGAAAAGGGGGCTCGTCTTTGCCGCTGTGGTCGCCATTGTCTGCCTTCCCAACAGATACAAATCCCTTTCTATTTCAGATCACATGCCAAAGAGGTCATCAGCCTCATTTAACCCCCCTTCCTCCCTTCTCTGTTGCACACAACAAACCTAAATCCTCTTCCAGCAGGCAACAGGTGGGCCCTAAAATTGGGCCCTGCCACCTGAGTTAGGAGTGTACAGTAGGTGTGGTCAGGGGGAAAGTTTTGGGAGGGACCAGAGGCGTAGATTAGGGAGTGTGTTGTGGGAGGGTTTTGCATTGGGCGGGAGGAATGGAGATCCTGCAAGCAAGCTCAGTGGGAAAAAAAAAACCTACTCTAGATCTCCCAATGAAATGAGTCATGACCACCCCTCACAGACACACCCCCACCTCACACCACTCTCTGGTCAGAGCATGCTGCCCTCTCCTTTGCCTTTTGCTGCCCTCAAACAGTGGGAGAACCCGACACCCCTCATCCAAAGCCAGGGCCCCAAGCACAGTCATGTGTGACTCTGACTAAATGCAGAGAAACTTTACACCATCGGAATAGTGGCGTAGAGCCTCTTCCAGCACAGTTAAGGGGTTTATGTACGCAACCGGGGGGGATTAAGATGATGATATTACAGAGCCAAAAAGTATCACATGAATTCATTTGGAGTGAGCGAGGAAGGCTGAAGACTGGCAAATCGGTACAAACACACCTCACAGACTCAGCGAAGCGCCGAGGAGTTAACGTTTTTAATGTCACAGTGTCACCTGCGTGTGTGTTTTACTGTTATCCAACCGAAAAAAAGTCGCACAACCACAAACACGCACTCAAACACCACGTGACACAGCCAACTAACCCAGTGTGTAAATACTGTTCCTCCTTGTCGTGACCTATTTATGCATGCACAGGCATGTATGGGTGTGTGTGTGTGTGTGTGAGAGAGAGAAAGAGAGAGAGAGAGTGGTTGGTGAGGTCACCTGGTTCAAAATCATGCTACTGCAAATAGAGCTGCTGATTGAATGACAGGTGTGTGACAGGCAACAACATTTGCATTCGTTTTACAACATTCGTTTTATTTCTTGGGATAAAAAAATCTGGAAGTCATGATTTTAAAAAGACTGGAAACAAACGTCAGCGATAGAGTTTATCGTTCACATACCACGCATGTAGTTTTGGTTGAGTAGTCTCTTTTTACGTGTCACCGTCCTGGGGTAGAAAGAATGTGATCCAAATCAGCAAAAATAGATTTAAGTACACTTTAACAACCCCGATGTTGTATTACATAAAGGATTAAGGATAAAGATTTATTACATCCAACTAAGCAAAATTAAAAAATATTATTATAATATTATTATAATTAAAATATTAGCAAAAAAAAGTGTGAGGTTTTATAAACGAAACAGTAACTCTCATCCATGTGTATACCTTTCTTTAATGAAAGAGCCCGCAGTCAGAACAGTTAATATGCTGCAGCATTGTGAATGAATCCTCCACAAGTCTTCTCCCTATCTGCATTGCGCTGTTGCATTAGACCTCACTGTTGTATCTATATGCTCTCAGGAACTGCTCCAGAGTGGACTCAGCGGCCCCCATCAGCGCATTCATTCAAAGGTCAAACGGCCACCTATCCCCAAAGCGGCACCAGCAATCACTGAGCGCTCGGAGAGATGGACGGCGACCAACATTCAGCGCGTTCTCTGACAGATCATGCAAGAGTCCCGCGGCGTAACACAAATCCTCCGGCACAGCTATAGAGGTTGAGAGCAGCCCCAGGGGCCCGTCGGTGCAGCTGTTCGTCTCGCTGGCAAAGGTGCGTCCATGATGGGTGATGAGAGGCAACATCGTCGGGTCTGTTAGGAGAGATTATGAGGGAGATTATTTCATAGTGTTTCTAGTTTAAACCTCAATGAATGTAACGATCAGACGCACGCAGGAGCATACAGTAGCTTTATTAACACTACAACTGCCAGCTGTTTTGATCCAGTACTGTGCAGTTACTGAGTTACTGATAAATTTGGAATCTCATACAGTGTGTTCGCATGCTTAAAACACACTTCTCCAATATGTAATTATTTAGTTCCCTAACATTTTAGGTTATAATTGAAGCATGCGTTAACCACTTTGCAGTATATAGAGCCAGTCAGTTAAAAAAAACCCTAAGTATCCCAAATCAAGTTCATATATTTAGTGCCAAATTACAACAACAGTCATCTCAGGTGCTTTATATTGTCAGCTAGAGACCCTACAATCATATGGAGAAATCCCCAACAGTCAAACGACATGCTTTGAGCAAACACTTGGCAACAGTGGGACGTAATAACTCCCCTTTAACAGAAAGAAACCTCTGGAAGAATCAGGCTCAGGGAGGGGAATCTACCTTCACAGTCAACCCTGTGAAGGTAAGACTATCTTTAAGCTTGTACCAACACTCGGATTGGTGGACTCAAGAGAAAGGCTCAAGCCGTGGAAGTGAGGCCAGAGGTGAGCTTCCACTGTGAACCAATAAACTTGCCTTTGTAAATGTACAGATTTACCCACAAATAAGTCACACCAAGCCACACAGGGTTACACACTTACAGACAAGATCACTGCAGATCAGATCCCAGGGAACAAAAAAAAGGCAGTTTGAGATGGCAGTCTTTATGCAGTGGCTAACGAGCTGCAACACATCTCAGCTATGGCAATAAGGCAGAAAGGATGAGAAAAAGCCCTCAAACATTAGGAGAGCTGCTAGAGGGAGTGACTGTAACACCACTAACACTACCAAAGCAAACATCATAGCCTTCTTAGCATAAAACCATGCTGCTTATCGTCACCTCACTTCTTAACCTTCATCAGCTTTATCCCTCTGTAGTTACTACATCTCTGCTTGAAAAGACTGTGTTTTTCAAGCTGGTAAAAAAAGTCAATTGACCAGCTTTTGCAGCTTTTGCAGCTATAACAGCTTCAGTTCTTCTGGAAAGGCTTTCCACAAGGTTTACGGCTGTTTTATGAGAATTTCTGACCATTCTGCCTGAGGTACATTTGTGAGGTCACACACTGGCCCACAGTTTCCGCTCCAATTCACCCCAAAGGTGTTCAATTAGGCTGAGGTCAGAACTCTGTGATGGCCAGTCAAGTTACCTCAAAAGATCTCATTCATGTCTTTATGGACCTTTCTTTGATGCACTGGTGTGCAGTGATGTTGGAATAAGAAAGGGCAATCCCCAAACTGTTCCCAAAGACTCCTGAAAAACAACCCCACACCATAATCCCTCCTCCACTAACTTTACATTTGGCACAGTACAGTCATATAAGTTTTCTTTTAAATTTAACCTTTAATTACACAGGTAGTCAGTGTGTTTTAAGCACAAATAATGTACTGGGATATGAGAAACATGCAAACACACTGTATGTAATGCCATGTTTGTGCAACAGGTAGTCCCATTGAAACTCAATGAGACAGTGATGATTTCACCAAAACATTTGTACGTCTTTTGAAAAGCACAGTGTTTAGTGATTGACTAAACTGTTTGCGTAACATGTACTCTGTTAAATAATAAGGCAGTAAACCAGTAATAGATTTATAGATAAAGTGATACCAATGAACCATCCTGTGTAAGGCCATTGAGGACAAGTCAACCAGAAAATATAGAGTACAGTGGTGTGTTAAAGGTTTACAGCCTGTTGTAAATCTTAATGCTCCATGATAGACAGAATCCAACAGATGAAGAGAGTGAGCAGAGGCATTCATGTAAATTACGTCACCGCAATAGGAGGAGGGGTAGAGAGGTGGCAGCAACTTATGGTGAAAAAGAGACATGATCCGTTTCTGAAAAAGAACCCTAACTTCAGCCTTAGTTTCTTTAATACATGGTTGATGTGTGGCTTAAAGGAAAAAATGTCATCAATCACAATACCTAGGTATTTGTATGAGGTGCCTCAGTACAGTTCTCCTGGCAACCGCCAGACCCAGACTTGTCCATCAAATTACACGATGGAGAAGCTTGATTCGTCACTGTAGAGAACAGATCTCCACTGCTGTAGGGTCCAGTGGTGGCACACTTTACACCACTACATCCAACACTTTGCTCTTGGTAATGTAATGCTGGGATGCAGCTGCTTGGCTGTGGAAACCCATTCCATGAAGATCTTTTGAGCTGATCTGAAGGCCACATGAAGTTTGGAGCTCTGTAGTGATTGACTTTACAGGAAGTTGGCGACCCCACTTAATGCCTCGGTATCTGCTGACCCTGCTCTATGTAAATACCCTGCTGTGTATTTACCACTTGTTAGTAAATACTTTGGGCAATACAGTGTATGTCATCTAGACCAACCACCTTTCCACTCTTCATCCTCTGTCCCCACTGTCTCCTTACCAATCCTCTGCACCTCCTCATTCAGTAGCTTTCTTTCTGTCCTGCTCTTTCTCTCCCTCTCGCTTTCTTAATTAATCAGTTCCTCAGAGTGTTCCTTCCATCTTCTAAACACGCTCTCCTTATTTGTTAGACTAGAAAGAAAGTATTTCTTATTTGTAAGTTGAACATACGGATAGCATTAAACTGTACTTTGACATCCACTCGTTTCTCTCTCCTTGTTATTATGATGTCATGATGTCACATTCAAATACTCATCAGAAAACCTTAAAACATGAGAAATCTGACTGAGAAGGGAATGATCCTTAAAACCAAGACAAGAAAATGTATTGGCCCATAGCGTAGCCTCAGCCTTTACATTTGGATAACTTTGGAAAGTATTTAAACACTGCAATCGCAATTTTAGTGTACAATATGTGTTTGGTGGGATTTATTCAAATAAATATATATTAAAGATACATTTATTGAGATCTCTCTTGAAAACCAAATCACATCAATGAAAGCGTTGACACTTTTCCATTATAAGGTCAAGGTTTTGACCAAGTTTATCGCTTTTCCTACGAACGGTGCCGTGTTCACGATAGTTTTGAACACATCGTCATCGCTTCGTTTGCGTTTTGTCAGAAAAGCAGCTCTGCGATTGGACAAGCTAACTCTTAAGAAGAGCCCCTCCTCCTCTTTCTGTGGGAATCCCCTCAACAACGTGTTTGGTTCGCAGAAAAATATTTTGACTTGTCGGCGGTTTTGACTCTCTGCAGTCACCTGTGACTCACCAGTGGGACGCTTAAGGTACCCGAGTGGTCGTACATGCCTCATACACTAAAGCAAATCCCCGAGAGTGACATTTATACGACGGGGAAGTTTTTACGACAGTTTCGCTAGCTAACGTTTAACCGAACGTCACGCTAGCGTAACTAGCTAGTCATGCTAACGCAGTTCGGCAACCTCAACCTATAAATGTGAGTCGGGCTGTGGATGCACAGTGTTTATTTACTTCGGGGTACGTTTTGACTCGAAATTAGTGTGTACGCGGTGTTATTACTGTTGAGACGTCGACACGGTGGCCATACGTGAAACGACGAGCTAGCTTCATTCAATTAAAAAGTCGGCCTACTACTGGAAGGTAGCTAATCATAGTGGCTGTTTGGGCCGCAAAGGCAGAAGTTGGCCTAGTCTTTAAATGATCTTTAAAAGCGCTATTAAGGAACAATTCTCTTATTATTCTTGCTTTTATAAAATCTATTTATTTTTAAGCTAACCGTAGTTGACTTGGCTAGTCAGCAGCTCTTCGAGTCAAAGGTCTGCTTGTTTTGAACTCATTTCCTGTGCGCAGAAACTGTTTTTACGGCGATCTTTGTTTACGACTGCTTTTCTCTGCTCTTTCTACGGCTTTTGTTTTTCTTTTTTTCGACCACAACAAATAAATAAATGCATAATAACAATAATAAAGCGAAAGTGTTGTGGTTTTTTTTTTCTAAAAAAGTCGAACGAATGCTATATTTAGTTTGTTTTCATTAAAATTGTGGGAAAACTATTAAATTAAGACTTTGTAGGAGATGTGAGTTGTTGCATACCTCCATTAACTTAATCTCCCGTGCTCATTTCCTGTTGATATCCACAGCCTGCCTGCTTCACCACTGGGAAAGGAGGGGGAGAAACTATGGCAGAGCAGGGCTTTGAGGATTTACAGCTGAGCCAGAATCTACCCTTCAGCCAGGATTCATTTAAAGAGCTGTGGGACCAGCTACCGTGAGTAAAGTCTTCATTCCAGATTCCATTAATTTTATTATTATTTTTTTTAAATGCAATTATTACTCCTACAGTGTGGCTGAATCTCTGTCTGTCAGTTTGGACACTATTTCCGCTGTGAACAGCAGTACAACAGGTCACGATGAAACCTGGAGGCCAGATGGCACCATGGATATGTTTCAGGTGTGATTACCCGACCTTATGCAGAATAGCATCTTTAAAGATTTGTCGAGATTCCTGTGACTTCAACATGCATGTTTATTCTTGGAAGCAAACTGACTTCCCTTTGTCTGTTTTCAGCTGATCAATGATCAGCAATTAGCTGAACACTTCGATGAAAAGCTCTTTGAGCTGCCAAATGATGCTTTGCCAAAAGATGGTGTTACACCTCCAGCCTCCACTGTTCCAGTCACAACAGATTACCCTGGTGAATGTGGGTTTCAGCTCAGATTCCAAAAGTCTGGAACGGCAAAATCGGTGACCTCAACTGTAAGTTATGGTTCATCTGACCTCGGAAAATCTTATAACTGTACTTGTGTTTTTTTTTGTTTTGTTTTTTCTTAAACAGGATGATAAATGTTATTTGTCTTACATCTGTTTTAATTGGTATAAAACAAACGACCAGAAATTTCACCAGGAATTTTAATATGATGGGCATTTTAACTGAATCCAAGTAATTAAACCAAGACGCATTATATATGTAAAGTTTGAAGGTGCTCTCAATCGATTATTCTGCAACCAAACATGACATGGAGCAGAAAGCTGCTTTCTGAGGCTTTCCTCACAGATAAAGAAGACTTTGAGAGCTGCTTTTAGTTTAGGCAGCAGTTGCTGAACTTAGTTTTGTGTGGGTTTTTTTTTTTTTTTTTTTTTTTTGAATGCAGAAGGGCATATTTTATTTGTTTTATAACTGTTTTAATTTAATAAAACAAGTTAAACTCTCATATAGAGTTTAAAATGTGGAGGCTTGTTAATGAAAAGGTCTTAAATTGGTAAAGTCACTGCTTTTAAGTTATCCCTTGATTTTAAGATGAAGAAAAAAAACATCTTACCTTTTTTTTATTAAAAATCCATTCTTTGGTATCGGTCATTGTGCCATTCATGTGGAATCTTTTTCATTGTGACGATTCGCTGAAATTTAACTTCCACAGTCAGTTGCTGCATTTGAAGAGCCAATAGTGTTGAAGTTTTCAGTGACTCACCATGTAGTGCAATGTGGTTGGCTAGCTCAGTTAAAGTTAGGGTGCTCTGCAGTGTAATCCCCCGCCACCCCCACCACTTGCTCTGGTCTGCAGGAGAAGGGCCTTCTGCTTGCAAAGCACTGCTCTGACATGACGGGACATGTTCCTGCACCCTCAGAACAGAAAGGGTTAAAATTTTATTCTGGTTCATTTTGCTTTGCTGCTTAGAAAAGTTAATGTATTTAATTTTGGATTATTTTGTTTTAGAGTCGAAAGACTAGTTCAGGGGTCAGCAACCTTTAACACCGAAAGAGCCATTTGGAGTCTGTTTCCACGCAAAAGAAAACACTGCGAGCCGCAAATACTTTTTGACATCTAAAATGAAGATAAAACTGTATATAATGTTTTTTACCTTTATGCTTTGTGTGAACAACTAAGGTGTGTTGTTTATGAAATCCATGAAGTGCTACAGAGAAAGGTCATGTCCAAATTCATGGGCTGGATCCTCCTGAGGACCCAGCCTTCGTGGTCTACGTGGGCCGGGTCCTCAGAAGGTCGGGTAGGCCGGAAGTAAACAGTTGGGGAAATTGGACGGTCTAGCCTCCTGATTAGCGTCACCGCTGTCTCGGTGGAGTTTAATAAACTCATCCGTCTGCTCCTTGCTATCTAAAATATAACAGGATGCTGGCATAAATTCTCGACCGTCTCATACTTCTGTTTAATCAGTTTTCTGTTTTGACGTTTAGTCAGCTGTGTGAAAACCAAGGAGGAACCCACCCGGGGGATTAATAAAGTTTTATTTTATCTAATCTAATAACTTTAATCTCAGCCAAACCGATTTACTCACAAACAAACAAAACACATTTTTAGGTTGTCTAAGTGACTTATATATTACGTTTAACCCGAGTAGCGAAAGTCCGCGGTGATCTGAAAATGATGTGCCGGGAGTTGTGCCGTTCTCGGTGGCTTCAGTGGCCCTCGAGCTCCCGGCTAGCTATCGAGCTGGTGGGTAGCAGACGTCTCCGAAAACGTCGAAGCACTTTTGCAAATATGCGATATCTTGATAAACCGAGCAGATATTTGATGTTTACACAGCTACTTTCTCGCCTGAAAATATGTTAAAAGTTTATTTTGTGACCCAGAAAGATTAGTATGAGTAATTTTAAAACTTAGTAGCGGCCGCCATTATTGGAAACTGGAGTTTGGCTGGGCCGCGCTATGAATTCTGGGATATGGTAGGCCACGAAGGACACACCCGATCCATCCTTCAAATTCGGGGAAAAGGAGGACTCATTTGTCGGAGGAGTCTACGAATCTGGACAGCCTTCGGCGCGTCACTGTGACGTAATCGGTCTACAAATGCGGCCTCAGGAGGATGCAGCCCATGAATTTGGACACGACCAAAGTTACATTTTATTTATGTAATTAACACATTTTGAACTTTTAAAGAAATATAACAAAAGGAAAGCTGAACTAAAATGATCCATGTAGCAAAGAAAAACTGTTGTGAGCCGCCACCCTTATATCGCTTTTGGAGCCTTAAAAAAATAATTGGGGGGGGAGCACTATGCTGCTAAAAAATGAAAAATAGATATTTGCAAAATTCTGCCTAAATATGTATTTTACCTGGTTAATGTGTGTGGCGGGGCGTGGTCTGCAGTGCTGCTGCAGGGAGGCGGATGCACCTGAGCGGCACCCGCAATCACGCCTCGCCGCTTTTACATCTGTGCTATCTATGCTGTTGTGTTGGTGTGTGTCGGGCTGTGAGCTGAAAAGCTACAGCCGCCTGTATACGTCAGCAACTGTGTGTGAAAAGTGGTCGATAAAGAGATGCTGAAAAGCGTTTTCATGCAAACATCGTCGGGTCTGCTGTGATACGTTTACAATGGGACTTCTGCTCCTGAACCTCTGCGCACAGCGTCTGCAAATCGGGGCTGTGCGAAGTCACTTTCATCTTTACGCAGGACTGTAAGCTGTCATCTGTGAGGCGTGAGCGGTGTTTGTTTTAGAATAGCTGCTGACAATGTGGATCCGAAGATTCATAACTGGCCTACCTGGGGTTGAAAGTCTCGATAAATGCACGGCGTTTCGGCGGGTACACCGGCCTCTGCGAGTGCGACTCTTATTTTGAGCAATGAAAAAATAATAGAATATAATTTTATTTTTTTTTTATTTCAATATCACAATCTTCCAATTTAGAACTACAAAAAAGAACTAACATAAATAAAATACACTTCAGCTAAATACTTCTAATTTATTTTCCCAAACCACGCGGAGCCGCACCATAAGGACTAAAGAGCCGCAGGTTGCCGACCCCTGGACTAGTTGAACAATTTGGCTCTGTTTGAGATTAAAGATTTAAACAATTTTTTGGGGTCTTTGGTGAGCATTTGAATCAAAAAATGTTATTAACAAAACTTTTTATTTTTATTTTTTTCTGAAGTACTCAGAGGTGCTCAACAAACTGTACTGTCAGCTGGCAAAGACCAGTCCCATTGAGGTGCTGGTGAGCAAGGAGCCTCCTCAGGGTGCTGTACTCAGGGCTACTGCCGTGTACAAGAAGACGGAGCACGTGGCTGATGTTGTTCGCAGATGTCCCCATCACCAGAACGAGGACCGTAAGGGACACTTTACAGCATTTTTTGGGGGGGAGGGGAAAAAAAGCAAATTGGTTGAAATAATATGACTGTGAGCAGAAGAGTTGGAGGTGGATTGAAGGGATGCATTGAATCTGAACATTAAGGATGATGCCAAGACAACAATGTGGCAAATTTCAAATTATTTAGGAGTCCAAAAAAACCCCTTCATTTATTACAAACGAGCCTTTGCAATTGTCATCACACAATATTTAAATAATTAACTAATGCAAAACTAACACAGACTACACAGTAAATGTAGTCTTGCCTAACTGTTGGTGCATCCCTGACTATTTCAATTTGTTTTAATCTGTAGTCTATTCAGCTGTGGAGCATCGCAGCCATCTGATCAGAGTGGAGGGCAATCAGAGGGCTCAGTATTTTGAAGATCTACACACAAAGAGACAGAGTGTGACTGTACCATATGAGCCTCCACAGGTATGACTGCCCAACTGTGTTCACTCTGAGGTGCACATCTCCGCTTTTTCTACACAACTTTGATTTGTACCCATTCATGTTTCCTCCATCGGTCTCATTAAATTTGTCAGTGGATGGATGAAGTGCTGCAAGAGCTCCAGACATTTTTCTTCTCCACATGAACACACCCCCACACAGATCAGGGAAGGGGTACGATTTACACATAGGTTGAATGCGTTCACTTTTATACAGGTGTGCATTTCTTCAGTGGAGTTTCATACAGATAACATATAATAATCAATCATCCAAAAAAGAGACTTCATTTTTATGATCTTGCGATAACTTGATATATAATAAGTTGTACTTTTATAATATAAAAAATGTAGTCTTTCTTTTTTTTTACTTTGGAAAGAACGGCGCAGAAAAGGTGTTTTTTCTTGGATGTGTATCATATTACCTTTTAACTGTAGTTGCGTGAGCCAGCAGTACATTTTAATATTTATGCTTTTCCTGTTTCAGTTGGGCTCAGAGATGACCACTATCCTGCTGAGCTTCATGTGCAACAGCTCCTGCATGGGCGGGATGAACCGCAGACCTATCCTCACCATCCTGACCCTGGAGACTCCAGAGTAAGTCAGTTTTCTCTCTCGTGTGGCCAGAAGCGCAGCACAAACCATTTCTATGGTGATGTTGTTTAACAGGTCATCTTGGTTTTTGGCCTATTTTATCTTTAGAACTGCTCAAGAAAAGTCTCATCTTGCAGTTTGTTTGTGCAGCACAGAAAAGCCGTTTGACCCTTACTGCATTGCATGTGCTTCTCTAGGGGGCTGGTTTTGGGCCGGAGGTGCTTCGAGGTGCGCGTCTGCGCTTGTCCAGGCAGGGACCGTAAAACTGAGGAGGACAATAAACAGAAGAAGGAGAGCGGCACCAAAGAGACAAAAAAACGAAGTACGTTTATGCTGGTTTCAGTTTTTGTTTAGTTTTCTTCCTGACCTCACTGATTTATTTATTTATATCTCCTAACCAGAGAGCGCACCACCTCCTGACACCACATCCACAAAGAAGTCCAAATGTACCTCCAGTGCTGAGGAGGACGACAAGGAGGTTTTTCTCCTCCCTGTAAGTAAATATGCATACAAGTACACTGAAATTCTCTCTCAGCCTTTCAATTTCATGACTTTCCTCTAATTTCTGCCGCAGGTTCGTGGGCGTGAGCGTTACGAGATGTTGAAGAAGATCAATGACGGTTTGGAGCTGCTTGACAAGGACAGGTAGGAGGCACCCTGGAAACTTTTATTGGATATGACAGCAGCTACTGTAGACTGACAACAACAGGGAGTCGGTCTCAGCTGGTTCCAGTTGTCAGGTGTGCCTTTGGCCTTTACTGTAGTAGAATTTATCCTGTTTTCATCAAAACCTGGAGTCTCCTAATCCTGACACTAGAGGTCGCTGTGTGTGGTTGTTAACCATGCTGCACAGCCTGTAAACTGAAGCACATACCAGCATAGCTCCACATTACGTATTGTTTATGATGATCACACTATAGCGAAACATAGCTTTTGTAATAAATTAGCCGTGTCGTCTTGATGGTCCGGGTGTCTGTTTTCCATGTTGTATGAAAACAAAGTTGACCCTCTGGTTTCACATTGTTTGATGTGAGCACTTTTAAACTACTGTAAACGTGGCATTGCTACAACGTAGGGTGAATCCCAGTATTATATCAGGTGTGTAAATATAGGGTGACAACCCGTGTCCACGGTTAATGTAGAGATCAGAAATGGCTGCATGAGGGCTCTAATTTAAAACAAACTCCTTACAGGCAGCAACTTCAGGGTTATACAGATGCAGCTCAGTGCTTTGAGATGAAAACAAAAATGAAGCATCCAGTGTTGAATACCCAAAGGTAGCATAGAGTAAATTAACATGGGCTATTTAATTGGCCATGCCATGGTTTTGTGTTTGTGCTACCTGTAACCTTTTGGGTATTCAAAGTGGAAGTTATGCTTTCGGTTTAGCAGCTTGGATGAGTGCACTGGGATGTACATTGGTCCTAAATATGTTGCATCATTTTATAACCCTGCTTTCTCTCTGCAGCAAAAGCAAGTCAAAGGTCTCAGTGAAGCATGAGGTTCCTGTGCCCTCCAGTGGAAAGAGGCTGCTGCAGAGAGGAGAGAGGAGTGACAGCGACTAAGATGCCCATCACCTCAATTTCGAAAGCAAACGTCACGTTTTTGTCTCAGCCTTCAGGTTTCTTTCAGGTTTCAGGTTTCAGGTTGCCATCCTGCCTCAGTTAAACGGTTCCTGAAACTGTACTGCCTGATCAGTCAGTGTAGACTGACATACTCTTGTGTTCAGTTATGTTTTTCTTTTCTTTTTATAAAAAAAAAAAAAAAAAGTTTTTGAAAAAAACAACCCTATGTTGGTAATTGGGTTAGAGCCGTTCAGCATGAGATTAAGAATGATCCTTGTCATAACGAGTCACTGCCGTTTATTTAAATAAAGTTCAAAGCTAGGCTTGGAAAACTTGAATGGAATTTGCCTCTGATGTTGCTGTATTACTGTGCCACAGTCCTGTCGCACAATATCATTTAAAAAAAAAAAAAAAATATATATATATATATATATATTTTTTGCATGATTGTCTGGGAAATGCAACCACCTCTGCGCAACCTTGATTCATATGCAATATGTAATCATGTTTGTGTAAAACAGAACTAACCCATGGTATTAACTGATCATTCTTTAGTGGGGCTTTTTTAATTTTTTTAAATAAATGCAGATGTATCAGTTTTCACCGTCACTCTTTTTGTTTCGCCTGTTGTTGGGAACATTTACTTTTAGTTATCAGTTAGATTTGGTAGATGAGGGGCTGGCTGGATCATCCCCTGAACTAACAGTCTTTTAGTATAGATTTTATTACAGGAAAAAAAAAGACAAGTGTCTGATGTTATAAGTTAGTGTTACTTGAGTAGTCACACAGTAAATAGATGTAATGAGAACAAAATTTTTTTTTTTCTTCTTCCCCTTTTGGACCTTTTTCATAAAAGGAAGTGAATGTGAGTTCTCACGTTTGCATGTAAACGTCATGTTGATGTCCCCGCTGACCAAACAGTTTTTACACTGCCAACAATGTGTTAAAAGGCATTCCTCTTATTGTTTTTGATTATTTGGGGAAAATAGTTTTGTATAAGAGGGTTTCTCTATATTTTTCTGTTATTTTTCACTTTTGTATTGTACTAATTACTTGTAACTTTAAGCTTTAACGTAAAATAAATGCGATAAGGATCACTGTGGTTTTGTGTTCTGTTGGACAGCATAAACAAATATTTTTCTGTGCTTTGCAAGTCTGAATTATAAATGCAAAACTGTTGCTATCTAAAGGCTCCTACAGTTGAATGGAGCCTTGTGACACCAGTCAAATGTGGGGTTTATAACCTGTTTTATTTGCCCGCATCACAAACCGAGAGGTCACAAGAGATGCGTCTGTAGACTGGGTGAGTGGTGAGCCATCAAATATTCACCTTTTAGGCTGTTGTTTTTGATTAGCTGGAGTTTTTAGTCACTTTGTTTTTTATGTTTTTTTTTATTTTTCCTTCTTCTAATACAGTATCAGTCTGGAAGTGTACAGAGCACCAATATGGGGAAGTTGCAGGTGAAATTTTGTATTTTTCTGTGCTGGGGTGAGTATTTGTAGTTTATTTTTAAAAATCTGATCTGTATGTCAGAAAATATTTTGTGATCCAGTGTACAAGGAGACATCAAGTCCAGAATTTTAGGAATATGATAGTTCTTTATTTTCATCATATGTGATAACTGACCAATAATTAATCTATTTGTCAGTTTATTAACCTCCTGAGATTCTGTGTCCTTATGTGGGAACATTACGTTTAGGCTTTTCTGCACCCTGTACTCAATTCTGCGTGGAAACCGATGTTTTAATTGAGCCATAATGCAGACCACTGCTGTTCAGTGCTGTGCTTTAACTTTATAACGCTTAGTTTTTGTAAAATCAAGTTAAACCTGAGGGTTGTCTTCCGATTTACAAACACCACCACCACCAACACCAACAACAACAACAACAAAAAAAATTAGAAATGAGAAAAATAATTGTTGATGGTCACAAAGCAGGAGATGGATATATAAAAAGTTATGAGTGAAAGTGTTCTTATGGTCACCATTTAAAGGTATTTTAATCTGAAAATGTTCATGTTTCTTAGATCTCTGTTATTCCACTCACTACACTACATGATATTATAGTCTCTGTAAGCGTAGCGCAAATACAAGATGACGCCAGCGTTGCGAAAACTCTGGAAAAAAAGCTAGTGATGCTTCCTGATTGGTTGACTGATAACTTGGAAAGCCTGTAAAAAACAAACAAACAAGCAAACCTTTGCCTGCCGTTTCCTTCCTCAGCTCTGACGTCGATGTACAGCGATGCACAGCGAGAGTATTTCATCCAGCGCAAAAATCTCACCTGGGTTGACGCCCGAAACTACTGTCAGGTACAGGCTAAACCTGAAATTTATGCACTAACGGGCTGAAGCATGAAACTGAGCTATACCACGTCAGTTTTATTCACTAAGGCAGATATGTGAGAGGGGATTCAATATGGAATTTAAAAAAAGGTTGGCGGTGTGGAAATGCAAGTTTGTGGATGCGATAACTCGAGAAGCAACTGACATAGGAGTTTGAAATTGATATCCTGGGTGTATCTACTAAGAATCTCAGTTTGAATCTCAGTGACTGTGAACTCAAGGTCAGAGGTCAAGTTTTCTGAAAATCTTGTGAATGTGATAACTAAAGAACAAAGCAACATAGGATTTTAAAACCATAGGTGTATCTACTAAGAGACAGGTGACCACCAGTGTTTTCCAACGTCTTTTCCTGGTGGTCGTTACTGGGTTTGAGATCATCCTCTGGATCAAACAGACCCTTTTTTATATTTTCCAATTACGGCCTGAATGGATTTGGGTTCCCTTTGATGAAAGGATATCAATACCTACAAAGTAGTGGCAAAGGAAATTTTACTTTTTGTACACTTGTATCACAGGAATAATAGGAACATGACTTGCCTAACATTTGGAAACCTTGGTTATGGATTACACTAGCAGCTGTTTGTTAACTTAGAATAGCCTAAATGCTAGCAACAGGTTTCAGTATGCAAAACTGACGTACCAGGTTATATTTGAAGCAAAAAAGTTATTTTAGTTGTGCTTGTGTCAACTATGTGCTTACCTGTGTGTCTAAATGCGGCGGATATATCTTTAGCACAGGTTGTATGTCTGTATCAAACATCATCTTGCAGTTTAGAGCCATGAGCCACATCTGTTGGTATATGTGAGCAATTTTAAACACTGGTCTAAGACTTAAGACAAAATCTACTAGTATATAAATTTGTAGCGCTTTTCCTGTCATTTTTCTCAACTTTATAGATTTAGTTTAATCTAAATTGTTAAAGAAAACCATCTCATAACATGAAATGCTCTCCGGTCTTTGGCCCGTCTGTAAAAGACTGACAGTAGCTTTTTGTGTGTGGCCAGGCCTGCTTCAAAGAGCTGGTGACACTGACTCCAGACAACATTCAGGCCCTTGCCCGGGACATCACCTCTGACCACTGGATTGGTCTTCGCAAGAACTTTAACTTCAAAAACAACTCTATCGACAACTCCACCGGCAACTTAACCAGCACTGTTGCAAGCTACACAGAAAGCTACTTCACCACACACTATATCAACAACAGTGACTCCAGCAGCCCCATTATGAACTGGACTCAGTGGGCCAACGGGGATCCCCTAGCCTTCCAAAACTGGTACCCTGGCTGGCCGCTGCCTAAACCTTCCCCAAAACCTCCCAACAAAACCGTGTGCTGCAGCTGCTCCTGCACATGCCCAGCAAGGCCAACAACACCCATGACTACAAACGCAGAATTCACAACGCCCAACACGACAACAACACAATCAGGACATAATGTGACAAGTTGGAGTGATGACCCGGCTGAAACAACTGAATTCACACCAGACTTCACTGACCAATCTGTTGTTACCGACGAAAGTACAACACACGCAACAAGAACGGAAAACATGACGACCCGAAGAACAACTCCATATTTCACCACAAGTGCACCCTGGACGACCGCTGAGATGCCATTAGCAGCGCAGTGTGAGAAGTCGCCTGTGCAGGAGCCAGAAGAACCTGAAGATGAAGACGACAGTGATGATGAGAATTACATTGAAGACTCGTGTGTGGCCATGCTCAGCTTTGGGCCGTGGATTGAAAAGAGCTGCCTGGAGCGTCTGCCATTTATTTGTTATGAAGGTAGGTCACAAACTGTATGGGTGCACAGATGCAGATACCTGCTAATTTATCACACAAATAAAATACTACAGTTAAAACTAAGGCCACGCTTAATGCTTCCATTTAGGAATTTAGAGGTTCAGTTGCAGCCAGATGCTGTGAGCACTTTAGGTGTGTCTAAACTCAGTGCTGCAAGTAGTGGACGTGAGGACAGGTGAGACCTAGGTGGCGATCTCTGGCTATAATGTACATCACCACGGCCAATCATCTCCACTTTCTTCTTTTGGATTAAACCAAACACCATATCAGTGCAAATAACTCATACCAACAATCAAGCACGGTGGTGGTGGGGTGATGATTCAGCTTGTCATGCAGTCACTGCGTCAAGCTCCTCTGAGCTCCTCTGTATATGAAAGTTTGCTACAGTCAAATATGAAACCATTTGTTTGGCAGCTAAAACTTAACTGAATCTGATTGAGAGCATATAAAACACTAATCACCTCACTTTGGTGATGATCTAGCCACTTCATCAGATTTAGGTTTATATGATTGACCTTTTTGCAAAATTACATATAACAATCATAGTTGCCTGTTTAGTGTGGTGGGTCAAGACAGGAGTAGGCCTACTAAGCCAGTCAAACACAGGTTAAGACCATAAATTCATGTATTTCTTATATCTAACCTCCTAAGACCTGAACTCCTTCATGGCATGCATTTTTAATTTCTCTTTGCTATTTGGGCTGACTGGGAGTCCTAGGAGGTTAAAGAATAGGAGTAGTTTTATTCTGTCATATTCAGATATATGATGTTTTTATTCATTATAGGCTCAGAACATTGTATCCTAATGTCCACTTTATATTTCCTGCCAAAAAAAGCCCTTGAATATTCCTTATTTGATTTAACTGTAGGTGACTTTATTACACGTAGCGTAAACAATCATTTAGAGGAGGTAAGCTTTATACACCACACATTTTATTTTAGTATCTCCCTCCTCAACTCTTCGGGGCATTTGTCCTTGCCTTCACGTTGCTGTCTAAGTAATATTCTTCATCATGTTTTCAAACAGATCGCTTCATGGGACAAGTCAGCGTCACCAATATAACTTTTGAGAGCGCCAACCTGACATGGTTGGTTGCACCGGGCGATATCAGCCATTATCGGGTAGAGGTCGAAGGTCAAAAGGATAACAAAACATGGGAGTTTAGCGTCACTGATTTGACCTGTGGCCTCTCCAACCTGACAGCAGGCACCTCCTACTCGGTCCAGGTGTTCCCCGTCAAGTGTAAAAGAGACCTCAACCCAGAGAACGCCACCTTCTACACCAGTGAGTTTCAATGAACGTGAGAAATATAGATTTATTTACTCACCTGTTCGCCTGCTTATAGTTCTGATAATATACCCCGAACAGCATCATGTAAACACCCGGAACAACACTCACGCTTAAGACCACGAATTTGCCGTTATTGCACTACATGGTATATTTTAAGTTTACCCAAAGTTTATGTTTTTCTTTTCTTTATGCTTTCCCCATCTGAGCCTGGTTCAGCCTGACGTTTAAAAAACATAAAAGAGAGAGACACTGATGATATCTGTGTTTTTTTTCAGTACCTAAGGCAGTCACAAACCTGACAGTCAGTTCTGTGGAGAAAAACTCTGTCTTTCTGAGATGGGAAAAACCAGAGGGAAACGTGGATTTCTATCGTCTGACTTACGAGACCACCCCTGTTAAAGTGACAACAGAGAGAATAAAGGTTGAGGGTTTGATACCTGGAACCCCCTACAATTTCACTGTCGTCTCGGGAGTCAATGACGCATCTAAGTGGAGCTATGAAGCTCACGTCTCAGCGTATACCAGTGAGTTTTTGCTCATTCTTTGTCGCGTATACGTCTGTGCTACGCATGTAATATTCATACTGTATCTGTTTTTCTTCTTTTAGTAGCAGGAAGTGTAATATGTGATTGAAACCAGTGAAAGGTGCCGAAAAGCTTGTTTACGCCTAAACGAGGAAGCGGTTTACAGTTTGTCCTTTCTTGCTAACATAACATGAAATTCAAATCAGCAAAGGCAAATGAGAGCCACTGCTGACGTGAAGAGAGGCGCCTGTAAAGTTTTCCTGGTGGATGTGTCTGTTTTGTGCTCATCTGTTTGTTCCTGATTTCAGAGCCTGATAAAGTTTACAACCTGACAGTGTCTGGTAACACAAAAGAGTCGATATTGGTCAAATGGGATCGACCTGTGGGAAACTTCACAGATATCCTTGTGGTAGCTAACTACCCGAATGGAGCGTATGTATTTGTAGAAATCCAGCCACACTGTATGCACACACATTTTTCTCTAAGCAGAGTTCATGTGAGGACAACGTTTTGCACCCCTTTGATTTATTGATTAACATATAGGAAGTTTGCCAAAAATAAAATAATAATATACACATATGTAGCCTGTTGTGTTGTTTGGTCATTTAGATTCCTTTGCTGTTTGAGTTGCCCAGCTTTTGTTTTTTTGAGAGATCAGCTGCAAAAATGACCTAAATGTTGACTTTAAATGTAAATTTTAATTCCTGTCAATGTTCCATGTATTTCTATTACATGTTTTTGATTGATATACATTGACTTTTTATATTTTCCTCAGTAATTAATCATTGAAATAAATAAACCTTTAAAGTTTTAAAATATAACTCGCTTGGCAAACTGAGAGAATCGTTTTTACGGCGCCTGTCTTTGAGGGCTCAAAGCCCTCCCTCCAAAATTCACGATGAAATAAAAAACCCGTGAAAGAGTTTCAACGGCAATTTCCAAAAATCACGATTTGGTCACTAGACCAACTGGTCACTGTTCGGTGTATGTCTCCTTCTGGACAATGATGCGGTGATAGGTAGCTTCTGATTTTGAGGTTAACTGTCCCATCAGGTCTTCTTATTACAGCTAAATAGATCTTCATGTTCAGCTGGATGAAATGAAGAGTGGAGTTTTGGGTATGAGCTTTAGTAACAGTTTCTCTTTGTGACAGGAGCCTGTTTAATAGAACTGTAAAGTCCAATCAGCAGAACGTGACAGTAACAGATCTGCCACCGGCCACACATATATTCATCTATGTGACCGTGCGGGTCAACAACGACCTGGTGGGAGAAACCAAAATGATCGACAGCTTCACAAGTAACTCTTTCTCATTGTTCAGATTGATTTCATTGTTGATGCACAGAAACAAATAAACGGGAACTGTCCCACGCTACACTGATCGCCTCTAATCTGACTGCTTGTCTGTTTTGTAGCTCCTGGACCGATTTCAAATTTGATTTTGACTACAACTAGTGATTCCCTCACCGCTACCTGGAAGCCTCCTGTTGGTAGCGCTTTAAATTACACAGTCGAGCGCTGTCTCGACCGTTGTGTAAACGAAACAAGTGTAACAACAAACATCGCATTCAAAAATCTGAAGAATGCTGCCAATTACTCTGTGACCGTCTATGCAGTGAGTGGACAATTTACCAGCACGCCAGTGTCCGCCTACAAGTTCACCCGTGAGTCACTTTTGTCATCTTCTGTGGTCAGAGTTGTTTGGTTGCCACCACCAATGTTTACAAGCAGAAATATCTCAATTCTTATTCTAAAAAGCAAATCTGTGAATGATTGTTACGCCACTGAGAAAAAAGATTTCCACGCAGAGCTAAGTTAAAATTTTGATGTCAATGTAAAAAAAAAAAACTTCAGTGGCAGAAACGATCTATTTCATACAAGTCTGATTTAGCACAAAAAACATTACTTCATTACTCTTATGTCAGGCTGACTTGACTGCAAAATAGTAATGAGAAATGGCTTTCTAATTTTCTCCATCTTCTTTGATTTTAGTGCCAAATTCTCCTACTAATCCCAGAGCCACTAGTGTCAGTAAGGACAGCATCACCTTTGCCTGGAATGCACCTAAAAACACATCAGCACCCACGTATGGTGTCACACTCAACTCCAGCTTCTGGGGTCAGAGTTGGAATTATACAACCTCTGACACCACGTTTACATTTCTTAACCTGACATCAGGGACCAACTATGCTTTCAGTGTGTACGCAATCGCTGACAGACAGGAAAGTGCCTCAGTATACTGTGCAGATTTCACAGGTAAGATTTTTAGCTTGGAAGAAAAACTGTTAACAACATGATAGGTGACACTTGGCAGGAGTTAGCTCGTCACTTGCACTTTTTTTTTCAAAAGGTGAAATCCAGACTCGAAGTAGAGGACAGATAGAGTTAATATTATCTGATTTGAAATTTGATGATTGCATTTCATACCAGGCCACTTATCAAAACTGGATAAACAGTTCACGGAGACTGGCAGTTTGAAAATCAGCAAATTAAGCCCTCTGGTCAAGTTTTGCAAAATAAAGTAAATAGTAAATAAGTGATTAAAAAAGGAGGTAATAAATGTAAAGGTACTTATTTAGATCTCTTTTTTTTTTACTCAATTTGAACACCAGGCAGTCCCAATTTTTTAACCTAACATGATCGATGATAGATGGATTGGACTCTAGTAAGTTGGAAAAACTACGCTTTGACACCCCAGGAATCAAACCAGAGACCAAGAGATGACCCGCTCTACCTCCTGAGCCACTGCTGCCACATGCACTTTAGTCGTTTCTGGTTTCAGTTAAGATATTTATGTCTTAGATCTAACCCAATAGCGTATCATGAAAACAATTTTAATCACCTTCAGCGACCCAAAATTTCACAAAGAGCAGAGAAATGCTTACAGCCTCTGCTCACCTGCTGGGTGAATGAGGCAAGTTGTGTAAACTACTTTGAGCGCTTAGAAAGTGTAGAAAAGCACTAAATAGCAACCAGTCCGTTTACCGTTTACAGTGAGTGTGAGCTTTTATATGACTGATAGAAAACTCGCTTGGCAGACTGAGAGAAAGAAAAAACAAGATGCTATACGAGCAAAAGGTGACGGCTGCGAAAACATATCGGACCAGCTAGTCCAGGATTTTTATTTTTCTGTCCATAGCTGTATTTATTCCCCCATATGCAATTTTTTACCCATGAATGGAAGCATGCCTTTTTCTTTCTTGTTTGCACATCTCACAGTCTCTGTTCGTTTCCCAGTGGAAGACCTAGAGGAAATCAGCCTGTCGATGCTGTGCTCCTCGTCCGAGGCTCTCCTGTGTGATGAGGAATCAACAAGGAAGGGAGTATTTAATGAGGTGAATCTGTCACCACTTGGACATAAGCAGCATTTTGATTAGCCAAGTGTGCTGAGCTGTGGCTTCGGTGAAAGGTCTCAGCTTTGTGTTTTCAATTGTGCGTTGTTTTAATTGTGTTGTTTCTGTTTGTGCGTTTTGCTACAGCTGAAGGAGAAATTCAGAACGCTGTTGGACGGGCACATCGACTGGCATCTTGAGCGACAAATGAAACAAGGATAAGCCACTTGGTATTTCCTGCTATTTAGTCATAAAAACTTCAAGGTTGTGCTTCAGTAAAATGTACAGCGACTTTTCTGATCAGAATTGTGATATGTGATTACTATACCTGCAGATATATTCATTTATTGATTAATTTTTATTTTTTCATTTTTAATAGGCTATAGGAATAAAGTAGATGACCAATCATTATTAAAATCAGCATTTTATTTGTTCTTGTTTTCACATCACCTTCTATTTTTTTTCTTCTCGACCTGAACTTTGTACGCCGAGGATGTTTTAAATAAACACACTATAATCTAAATGTGGTCTGGATTCTGTCACTGCATGTCACTGTAACACAGATATTTGTGTAAGGTTGACGTCACACCTTAAAGCATCTTCCACGATACCAAGTCGACTAACATAAATCATATTACACATAATTGCTGATGATTGTCCAGCTGTTAAGATTTTATCAACATCAACAGTAAAAAAAGAAAAAAAAAACTCAGTCTGTGTATACTTGTTCTCTTAATTCTACATGCATGCAGACACTTCCCCTTTTTCCAAAAAACAACTCTCGTTGTTCAGTTTTTGAACAATAAATATGTCAACGGTGAGGACCTGATGCCCTCGAACATACTGCAGTTTTATGAGGTCAGGTAATGGCATAAAACCAAACACAAAGCTTAATGTCTGCGGTGCTTCTGCGCCTGCATGTGTAACATCTATAACACTTCCAGGGTGTGAGCTGGTCCCTGTTAAAAAACACTTAAGTTACGCTCTCGTATAAGCTGTTATTCTCTGCACAGCTTCCTCTGCAGTGTGTCGGTAATAACTTTAACACTCCAGAGTAAGAAAGCAAACTGCAATATGAGGAAGGGGTGGAGTGATCACATTTTTTTTTTTAAAATAAGCATGTAAATGTGAAAAAAAGAAGCATCAGAGAGAAGAAAACGTGAGCCAAAAAAGCTTTTGAAACTGCTTAAGCAAAACCACAGTCGAGCAGCAGCAATGGAGTCTTCACAAGGACACGGAGACGGTGAAGCTAAGAGGGAAACACTTGCAGGTTAGTTTTTAAAAAAGCAATTAAAGGAAAGGCTTTAAAACAGGACACGTCTGATGAGTTAATATTGAAAATAAAAATGATCTGTTTCTTTGTTTCTGCAAAGGAGATGGGCCTCGGTGTGATCAGAGGCACATTTATGTTGCATCCTTTCATGATTGAAGTTCTTTAAAACTAACAGGACCACTTACTGTGGTCTAGAAAGTGAAATGACCTCCTGTTTGTGATTGAAACAGGATTTCAGTTTTTTCCTTGCTGTATTTTTGCCTCCACGCTCCCAATGCGTTCATCGGCTGAAGGGCCCACAATATTTTGGACAAAGAGCTGGTTTTTTAGTTTTTTCCTCTGGGGATTTTAAATCAAACAACACGTACCTGAAGTGTAGACTTTCACCTTTAATTGAAGGGGTTTAAAAACTGTTTTCATTTTTAAGAAGATCCGACATTTTTATACACGGTCCCTCATTTAGAGTGGCTCCAAATTCACTGGACAGACTAACATAGTTTTACAATTATGGATTGTTTTTAGTATTTGGGTGAAAAAATCTATTACAGTCACTGACTGCCTGAAGTTTAAAGCCCATCAACACCACGCAACACTGTGTTTCCTCCCTTGAGGTGCCCACCGGGCCTTTACTGCAGCTGCATTTAGTTTTGTCTTTAGTAACAAGGCACTGTAAAGCACGCTCTGTTGATCGTGACAGATAGCTCATTGAAGAATGTCACATTTTTTGCCTTGAGAAGTTCTTGGGTTGCTTTTGCACTACATGCTTTGATCCATTTGCCGTGTGGGGCACCGTCTGATCAGGTTTAGCTGAATCTGAGCAGAGAGTAGAGCCCTGCTGCTTCTATCAGCAGTCACATCATCAATAAACACCAGTGAGCCAGTCCTACAGCCATACTACCATACTACTACCTCCACCATGTCTGAGAGATAATATGGTATGCTTTAGATCACAAGCTGTTTAGCTATCTTCTGTGGTTTTTGAGGTCTTTTGGTGTTGTTGTGCTGGTCAGTGTGTTCCTTATCAGACTGCTGATTTGGTTTTTATTATCTCTTAGGCGTATTTTTAATACATGTTTATTTTCAGCCTAATGGCCTTATATACTAACCCCGATTTGGTCTGTAATTCATCCACTGTTGGATCGAAAGCACTTACATAGAAAGAGCATAGATAAAAGTGTCTGTGTGAATGGGTGAATGAGGTGAGTTGTATAAAGCGCTTTGAGTGCTCAGGTAGGCTAAAGAAGAACCAGTTCATTGAGCTTTTATCATTACAGGTGCAGGATCCTGTCAGTTTTGTCATCTAACAGTTGGAGTGGCTATTGTTATAGCAGCATTAACCCTGATCGCAGGACTCCTATTGTCCTTCATTTTATTTGGTGAGTCTAAATATGCGTGCATAGAAATGATACATGCATGAAGTATTTCATCTGTAAACACTTGGGGAGATTCCAGGATCAAACCTTTGCTCATAAGGTCGTGCATACAGCGCCTTGAAATGATCATTAAAGATGCTGGAGAATCACCCTGCTGCTCCGTGTACCTGGACAACAAGCAAACTGAAAGTAGTTCATACATACAGAGTTCATACAAATCCTCCCTTTATTGTGCAGACTCAGCACAAATCATCATCATGTACCCCAGTGGAGAAATAGATCCGGAGAACTGTATAAAATTCATATCAATTCATATCAACACGTTCTGTTTCGAACAAAGTGGTGTGAAAAGCTGTTCGCCCCCTCCCTGATTTCCTCTTTTTTTTTAAATGTTTGCCACACTATAATGCTTCAGATCACCAAATATTAGAAAAAGATAACACAAGTAAACTCAAAATGCAACAAAGTTTCGAAATGAAGGTGTTTATGATTAAGGGAGGGGGAGTGTCCGGGCCTACATGTCCATGCGTGAAAAACTGTTGACGTGTGTTAACTTCGCCTAATATTTAAATGTGTTTGATGATCTGAAACCTTTAAGTGTGACAAACATAGAAAAAAAGAGGAAATCAGTACACGCCGCTGTGTGTACTAACATTTTTTGAGTGTGTTACTATAAAGCACACATCGCTTCCATAAAAAATATCTAAAAGCATTTAATTTAACTTTTTTATTTTTTCAGCAAGTATTCCTTCTTCGTTCTGACAACCACAAGCAAACACATTGCATATAACTAGAAATGAATAGAATAATATAATTATATAATAATAATAATTAATATTGTCATTATTTTAAAAATATATATAAAAACACTTAAGATAATAAAGTAAACCACCTCCTTGGCTGGCAGCTATGGCAGCAGGCTGATGGCTTTAAAATATAAAATTAGCTGATAATGTCCAGACATTTAGCCTAAATAATCAAACATACATAAGTAGACACTTTATAAGGCACAGCAGTGCCCCCCCCCCCCCCCCCCCCCCCTCATTGTAAGAAGCATTTGCAGTTTTTCCTATATCTCAGGTAAAGAGTCTCCAGTACACAAGACGGCAAAATACAAAATTTGAAGACAACGTCAGAAAATAAGACTAAAACACACTATTATTACTGTGATTACTATGGTTATTTTTAGGGGTCCTACGATGGAACTTTGGGGTACTTGAGACCCCCCCCCCAGAGGGTATAACCTGGCAGAACATAATATATAACATACTTAATCTACTATTTTCTGCTGTTTGTGTTTGTCTCTCTAAACCTGTGGTTTCCACCTCCATGTTCATCCCTTCAAATTTCCTCCAAATGTGAAAAAGAAATATTAAAAATGCAGTTATATTAATTTATTATAAGAAAATTGGTTATAGTATGGTTGCATTTGTCTTTCTCAGCATTTAAAGTAGCTTAAAAAAGCAAAAGTAATCCTAATCTGCTTTTTAGCTTTAGTTTCTGGAAGCATCTGGAAGACATGATGTTTTTTTTTTTGTTGCTGCCTGTAGTGGACCTTCAGTGCTCAGCTCTTATCTTTATATTTATATTTGTCAGTCATATTGGCAGCAGCACCAGAAGCAAGTCAGACATCAAGGCAGGAACTGCTGGAGCAGCTGCAGCAGTGCCAGAAACAGCAGCGTGACGTGAACCTGATGCTTCACACTGTCACTCAAGGTGATTTACATGATCTCAAACACAGTGAACACAGGTGATCCGCCACAGCACTCGCTGCGTGTTTCTGGTTACATTTGTGATATGCTTCACACACAGAGTAGTGAAAGCTGTGGGGCTCCATTTCTTACAGGGTTTTATCTGACACTTAAATCAGTGTTTCTTCCTCCTATGTGAAGACTCAAGGTGCAGTTTGTGCCCTGAAAAGTGGCTGTGGTGGATGGGACGTTGCTACTTCTTCTCAGTCGGACTGCAGGAAAATCGGCAATGGAATGAGAGCGCCGAGTTCTGCCGGCAGCACAACAGCAGCCTGGTTGTAATCGAAGACTCTGCAGAGATGGTAAACGCATCATGCACAAGTCATGTGAATCACACACACTTACAGTTCTGAAGTTGTACGTATCAGAACCACTTTAAGCTGCTGAGGACGTTCGGCCCACTCTACTTCACAGCGTCGCTTCAGTTCGTTGAGATTTGCAAGCCTTTTTTATACACAGCTTAAAAATCAGGTTGGGCTATGACCGGGTCATTGCAACACCTTGATTCTTTCCTTTTTCAGTGTTCTGTTGTAGATTTGCTGCTGTGCCTGTGTCCTGTTGCATGACTCAATTTAGTTTTATTGTCACACAAGTGGCCTCAAATTTGACTTTTGAATACTTTGGTGGGAGTTCATGGTTGACCCAGTGACTGCAGGGACCCCAGGTCACGTGGCTGCGAAACAAGCCCAAATCATTACCCCTCCTCCACGTGCACTTTGTTCAGATGCAATCCTTTCCAAACAAGCCACGCTTGTTCCATCTTTTTCTAATTGTATGTCATAAATATTTACATTTAACACGCTAACTGAGGCCTTTAGAGTCTCAGTTAGCATAAAAAGAAGTTTAACCCCCCCCCCCCCCCCCAAAACCCCCCCCCCCCAAAACAAACAAATTGCTAAACTAAAAGTTGGAACTTTGCTAAGGACTCCCACAAGACATTCCCAGATGTGTCCCGCAGCTTCTGCCCACCTCGACTTTCAGTCACCCCAGCTTGTGCTATGGACCACTGATGAAATGTGGGCTTTCTTAAGTAACCAATGCATAATGGCCCAACCTGGGTGGATGTCAGCTTTCTGTGCCAGCACTTGTTTTATTCATAGTAACAAACATAAATAAAATGGTAAAATTTCTGGCAGAAAATTAATCAGGGTCGTCAAACATACTGCCTGGTGGCCAGAATCAGCCGGCCAAAGACTCAAGCCCATTGGATGGCTTTGGAAAATGTCAAGAAAGGCATAGATATTATACATTTTATACATTTCTTTTACAGTTTTTACAGCATTTTCTACTAATAAAATCCCCAGAAGTCATTCATACTACACTAAAGTTAATTAAGTAACAAGTGAACATTTAAATGACAAAAAGTTGAAAATGTTGTGCTATCTACAACAGAAATTTCTATGTTTTACAGCAAGTCCGCGCAGTTAAAAAAAAAGAAAGAAAGAAAAGAAAAAAGCAAATACACTTTTTATTATTACAGGACAGTCTGGGACAGTTTATTTTTTCTTTCAATTTACACATTTATTACTTACAATTTAGTCTTAAACAGTCGTGCTGACACATTTCTTGCATTTAACATAGAAACATTTCTTTATTGTGTAGAAAAACTCAGACATGCTGTTGAAAAAAAGACTTTTTCATAAGAAGTTGACTGAGGGATTAATCTTCTCTACCTTACAGAAAGGGGCGTGTCACTGCTCTGGCTCACTTCAGTGGGCTGTGTGTGGTCGGTGATGATATCCCTGCTCTAAATGTTGCTTCCACCACAGGATTTCATCCAAGGAGTGATGAGGAACTTCTCCCAGGTTCCTTTCCTGTGGGTGGGACTGACAGATGCCAAGCAGGAGGGTCAGTGGCTGTGGGGCGATGGGAGGGCAGTCCAGCACTACATGCAGTAAGTCATATCACAACAACAAAATAAAAATAATAAAATAATACGGTATAATTAAGGAACTCATTTTGGAAGAATTAGAAATAAAAGTGCAAGGAGTAAAATATATAAAAAAGAATAATATATAAAATAATAAGTCTTCCTATTAAAAACTGGAGTTGCAGAACACTTTTGCCTGCTGCAGCGACTGCAAATGCAAAACAGTAGTTATTTGCACTGAGGGAGTAACAGGCAGCAGGGTTAGAAGCTGCTGGAGGCTTTTTGTCTGACTGCAGAGTCCTCTAGAGGCGGGAGTAGAAAATGTCAGTGGGCTGTGCGCTGTCGGCCCCCCGATGACCGTGGTAATGTAAATGCACTGATGAGAAGGCTGTTCCTGAGGTACACTGTGCACATTTATCTTTGTAAAAAGAAACAAACAAAAAACTGTACAGTACAGTGTCAATAACTCCAGAAATGTCTCTCAGAGTATAATAAATATTAGTAGGATGCTGCTTGTTTTAGCCACTAAAACGTTTTTATTAAATGAAAAGTGATCTCTTTATCTAATGTATAGGCAAATACAAACAGAACACAATCAAAAAATGAAAACAAACAGAAACATTTAAGGTTAAGTTGATCTTTATTACAATATTATAACAAACAATATACACGTATACATGACACACATATCCAAAGGCAAACACACACAAAATGACATCAACTTGACTGTATGTAACGTGACCATATGTGACTGTACATATGTTTATTTATGTAACATATTTACAGTTTATATTTTTTAATGAGGTTTATTGTCATGTACTGCTTTAAACACTGAGTTTTCACTCCCACTGTGTGTTTCAAAGGGTGATGGTGGAGTGGGATTCTGATCACAGGGACTGCGCAGACCTGAGGGGAGGCGCGAGTCTGTTCGCCGCTGACTGTGAAGAGTACGGACCGTGGGCTTGCAAGAAGGAGTACTGACACACAATTACAATTTATTTTACACACAGTTTACTTCCAATGTCAATTTGGCACGATACAAAAGGTAAACAAAAAGCTGTTTACAACTCTAAAATCTATGAATCTTAGGAAAAGAAGCCAAAAGGGATAGGAATGCAAGACGTTAAGTCAGCCATATAAAACATTTATTGCCATCTGAAAGTGCATTATAAAGTGCATTCATGTACGAAGAGGCAAAATGTCGAAAAAATAAGCAACATGTTGTTGCCTTCAGTTTTGGACAGAGTTAGCTTATTCTTTAAATTGCAGGTTTTAAAAATAAATCTATTTACCCATTTCTGCAGTTGCTGTTTGTAGCTGCAACATCGGAATTGTCCTGAAATGTATTTGCTATATTTAGCACGCTATGACTGAAAATATCAATAAAGTCTTCCTGCTGTTTACATCATTAGCATTGTAGCTTATAGCTTTTTTTAAAGCTCAGTTGTTGAGCTAAAGTTTTAAATATTTTAAATTCTTTTTTTAGGTTAATATTTAAGATAAACTTAGCAAAATTAAGTTTTAACTATTTTGTTTTGAAAGTGAAAACACGCACTTTTAATTTCAATAATGACCTACTTTTATACTTTTAATGCATAATCTGGGTTTTTCTTTTCTTTACAACCGTGTGAGGTCTGAGTAGCTATGACAACAGTCAACCCTAACCTTATGTACGCTTAGGAAAAATACAAGAAGCAATTGTTTTGACACATCTCAGTTAGAGTGATTTTTGTCCCCCTGGTTGCCAAGAAAAGACACTTTTTTTTAAAGCCAAAAAAAGGCACAGAGGGTCAGAATTATCACCGATTATGGACTTAGACCTCACAGGTGGAGTCAAATTAAAGTCCAGTGAGATTTTCTGTCTCTCATTTCCCTGAGATGTTGTTTGGCGGGATGATCGTCATGAGTGTGCGTCCATCCAGTGGGGCGAACAGAGGGTACAGTTTCTCTCTAAAGGTTCCAGTGAAGGTGTAGATGTGGGACTTGGTTTCAGCGTTGTAGAAGGAGATCTGCCCTTCTTCGTAGTCCAAGTAGACCCCCATGCGCCTGGGCACGAGGCTGAGGGGGAGCTCCTTTTCTGGCTTGCTGCAGGCGTAGAATTTGTGCGTGCTGCGCCACAGCACCCAGTAGCCCTTCTTTGGCATCATGGTGAACTTCCCGTGCCGCTCAGAGTCAGCGGTGGTCACGCCCACGCGCCAGTAACCGTTATTGGCTATGTTCACCTCCCAGTAATGGCGGCCGCTGCTGAAGCCCTCCCTGCCGAGCACACAGGGCCATTCGTCGAAGCGCTGGGAGCTTTGAGGCTGCTCTGACACTACAGAGGACTCCTGGACTTTACGCTGGTCATCTGAGAGAAGCAGCCATGGGTGGTTGGTCATGGGGTCAAGAATCACATCAGCTGTTGGGAGAAAGGAAATCAAATTGCTAATTAAACCACATGTTCTTTGGTGTTTGTTGGTTGATTTATGGGATGGAGATAAAGCTGAGGCCGTTGTTACCTGCTGCGCTGCAGATCCACCCCCAAACTGAAAACACAGATGAAGAGTTTTATTATAGTTGCAGAAGAGATGAGTTTGGCTCTTAAAATAGTCCCCTCCACAAATTGTTCTGAGCATCGGAATCATTATTCATAATAAAAGCTAAAGAAAAATCCCAAGGTTTTTTTTGGTGCAAATTTTAAAATACACACCTGAGTTGGGGATGTATCGAGGAATTCCTGCTTCCCAGGACTTTTGCTTTGCCAGGAGCCACAACTGTGGGACGATTTTCTGATAAGGAAAAACATAAAAATGAAACTCATACTAACTTATATTCCTTTGCTTTCTATTTCCTTAAGACTGACTAACCTATGCCATGCTTAGTCACTGCATACATAATTCAGTAGGTACTCATAAATTTAGGTCCAGATAAAACTCAATTACAGCCTCAAAGGTCACGGCTCTGCACAAAAAACTGCAAGTAGTAGTGACAGGTGAAATCAGAGTCAATCAGAGCTGTGATAAAACAGCACGCCATCATCTATAAATGTGATGGCGTGCTGCAGTTTATCTGCAGACTGCCCCGTCGTTCACGGGGGACATTGACACGCGTGCTATCAGAGCAGAGCCCGATTAGGGTCGTTAAACTGAATCACTGAGATCTTTCATTGATAGATGCGGGCAATGAAGGTGCAGAGTTCACTTGGATCACACATGGCATAAAGCTGTTACACAACCTGGCCACGACTGCCCTTCGTGACATTCGAAATGAACAACTGGTTTATTGCACACTGGTTTATTTGTGTGCTATCAAACCTCTAAGATGTTTATCTTTCACTTCAAACTTACATCTTGCCATCATCCTCATCTCATTTTCAAATTTATGCCAGAGTTTCTGCATTAGCATGAATTGTTTTAAGGATGTTTTCAAGGGCTGATTCAGTAGAAATGCAGAGGTTTCTCACCGTGCTTCCTTCCTTGAGCAGCGACCAGGTGATGAACTCCAACAGAGGCATCAGCCTGATCAGCCGGTTCTTCTTCAGAGTCAGCACACGCAGCACCTTCCCCAGCTCATCGCTCTGAACGCCACAACGCTGCAACACAAACAAACGCTTGAGATTTGCCTCCATTTACTTTGAAAAGCGTGACACCAACCAAAACGTAAACGACATAAAAGTAAAACACATTTGAAGTTAGTTGTCTGGTTAGTGACCCCCTGCTCACCTCGCTCGCCTCCTGCAGCTCCTTTGCCCACTCCATGATCCTCATGTGTGCCACCTCACTGGCATCCTTGTCTTTAGTTTCGTGTTCGTGACTGTCAGATAGCCAGGGAGTCTCCTTCAGGAGCTTTAAGGACATTGAATTAATCACGACATTGTTAGATTTTAACAGTTTTCGTTTCACCTTGCATATCAAAATAGGATTTTCAATTTAATTCAATTCAGTTTTATTTGAAGGGTCAATCTGATCTGGTCTGATCTCACATCAGCGTCTGTAAATACTGACCCTGTCAACATCGCGGAGCTCATCGGCCCACTGCAGGATTAGCTTCCTGCTCTCCTCGAGACTGCGTTCGGCGCGCCCCTGTGAACGCTGGGCGTCCTTCGTGGTGCCTTCTCCTGGATCCAGAGCTTCCTGCTAAAAGACATCACACTGTGTCAGGTGGTATGTCACACCATGAAACTACAGAAAGATACAGGAAGATTATATCGGATTGTACATCTTAGGTAACGCCCATCCTACATATGCTATAAGGTGAAGGGTGTGAGCTATAAAGAGTTAATGAATAGCTGCGCTATCAGCATCCATACAGTCAGTGCTGTTGTGTGATGGAGTTCCTGCATACAATAAATATTTTGTTATTGTGATCTTTATCTGGTCTGTGCACTCTTAAATCTGGCTATACTAAGAGTCTGCCAGTTTCTACCTTGCACACTTGATCCACCTGTTCCTTCCACTGCTGGATAAACTGCACGCACTCCTGCAGGCTGCGGAGATCTTTCAGGCCGTTTTGGCGAGTTTGTTGCTGCAGGAGACAGAGGTGGTCACAAATAGGCCAAACAGACACTGACCAACTGAAGAGAAAAAGCTGTTTGAAGCATGTGGTTTACCTGTGACTGTTTATTGAGGCTGTTGGTGGGCCTGCTGGGGACTGAGCTGTGAGGCTGGCTGCTTTCATCATGGGTGGGCAGGTTCCAGCGTACGGCCCCGATGGAACTGCTCTGGGTGGCGCTGCCGTCCTCCCCAGACAGCAGCATGCTCACCTCTGCAGGGGTAAAAAAAAAAAAGCTCTTTTAAGTCTCAGTTAATGTCATGCTGCTTTGCCAAACTAAGAAAAGCAGCAGGAAATACAAGCTTTAGATAAAAGCTTTCCAGCAGAGGCTGTGTAAAGTATAGTGATAGATTTATGGCTCTGATAAATGGAAACACTTTAGATACTGTATCAGTCCGCACAGTATCGCATCACGCGAAGGTTGATAGTTATCAGATGGGCAAGAAAAGTGTGCTAAGTATCACTATGAAACACAAAGGAAGAAAAAGACGTACTTCTTTTGGGCTTTAGGATACTTTTCATTTCCATCATGGCTTCCTCACTGTGGAGAAAAAACACGCCACATGAAAAAGATAAAATATGAAATTATAGAACTAAACACACACACACACACACACACACACACACACACACACACACACACACACACACACACACACACACACACACACACACACACACACACACACACAGATATATTTGCAAGTTTTAAAACTATATCCTCCTAGGACCTGACGTCAGGATATTATACTGCCTCTGTTCTATCGAAATTTAAAGCGAATGTTCTCATATGTGGATCAAATTTTTCTCAGAAAGAAAAATCAGGTAAAAAAAAATCTTTGTTTTTACATTCATAAGGTCCCAATCAGCCCAAACAGCAAAGAGAAATTAAAAATGCCATGAAAGAGTTCGGGTCTTAGGAGGTTAAATATGTGATCCTGTATATGCATATACAGGATTACAAGTAATCAAATACAAAATAATACAATTACTTTAAATTGATAATAATAATAATAATAATAATAATAATAATAATAATAATAATAAATATAGAAAAAAGTTAAAGCTAGATATAAAACACAGCTGTAAAAAGAAAATCAGCATTAAAAAAAGAAAAGAACAAAAACAAGCAAACAAACAAAAAAAGCAACACACCACAAAATTACAACACAAACCTGCCTTATGTGAATTCATAAAATAAAATAATGGTTCATATTTGAAATTAAACCATCTCCCACAGACCTCAGGTATAAAGAGACACACTAAACTAATACACAAACTATGAGCTTATTATGTCGTACCTGTCGCTGGTGCAGCTCTGCTGGTGGTGAAGACTGGACAGCCACTGCTGTTGGTCTAATCCTTTTGTGTCTCTCTCGGTTTGATCTTTGAACTTTATGACAAGGAAATCTGCATGCAGAATCCCCTGACACGAAACGTTTCCTGGCAGCTCCGTAACCGAGGGCGCCGTGAGGGTATAATGGCGTGATTTTTTCTTTTTATGACTGCAGTAAATTTCAGGTTATGACTGGGAGGGAAACAGATACTCTGTGTGGCTGTTGGTAAACTGTATATGCAGCAGGAGTGTTAAGAGTCATTTACAGTATCTGTGCTTTATAAACTTCAGTTGTTGCAAAAAATCATAAAAGATAAAGATTCTCCAAACAGTAAAAAAAAAAAGTGATTTCACTTCTTACTGCATCACTGGACTCAGTCTGACTGTAGTGAAACTGAATCCTAGCAACTCTTATCTTTGCCTTGACACATATTACACAAATGTGATATATGACGCGCCACTGTTTACAGTAACTGGTCCCATCTTGTCTATAACACTCATCATGTGGATGAATTTCATGGTCATCACTGTTCTTTTTCTGGGCTGGACTGATCATCCAGCATAGATCTTTAACGACTTTCAAATGCACACATTTCAATCTATTTAGGATTTTCTCTCATCCACACAGGCTCTAATATTTGGTCACATGTTCCTTAGCAAGTTGCACCTCAACCAGATGCTTCTTGTAGTCATCAACAAGCCTCTGACTTTATTCTAGCTGCATATTTAACTGAATTGGTAGAGTTTGTTTAAATTAGTTGGTTTTCTGGCATGAACACTGCTTTTAAGATCAGTTCCCAAAAGTTCAGTAAGTTTGGCATCAGCGCTCTGAGAGACGTCAACATGCAAAAGACACCACATAACCGTCAGCCCCGCTTATTAAAAAGACTTCAGTGACTTAGTATAAAGCCATCTTTCAGGAATGACTATATTACTTTTATTTCATTATTTTTATTGTTTTTAAGTAAATCTTCATGTGAAGCACTTTGTAACTCTGTGATGAAAGGTGCTAAATAAATACTTATTAGAACTGAAAAGACAAAAAACCACACACTACAGTTCTACATCTACATTTTACATAATGTGGGATTTGTTTTTATGTCTTTATTTCCTTTTGCTTAACAGCAGATTATGAGTCGAAGAAGTTACTGATTATGTCAAAAACATCCATTGACTGGACTCATAATGTCCCGAGCGGGTGCAATTTGGAAGGGTATTGCATGGTGTCAAAAAAGGCCGAAAAATAGGAGCTTCCATTGGAAATGACTCAAGGCATGCACATCTGGATGTCTTCAGCATTACATGCAGAAACGTCAGAGAAACACATGCTTCCCTGTATGTATCATCAGCTTATTCCTGGAGTTTTTGCCTAAATCGTTGTGGGTTTCTTCCACCGCCTGGTTATCTGTGACTTCAAGGTCAGAGTGTCATTATGCAAGCTGCCGAACCTTAAGCTGTTTCTGTTTGTATACAATAAAACCAATCTAGTGTAAACTATTAGCCGCTGAGTTTTTTCCCCTTTTGAACAAACTTCAGTTTGCCTTTTAAAATCGAGTCAGGCGGAGATTAAACCTGAATAAATCATCCTGCAAGAGAACATTCGTGAATTTTCTAACCTTCAGAAGCAGTGTAACCAAAAATATGATCAAATGTTTCCACAGTTGGTGTAAGAGAACCAAATTCAGCGATTCAGTCTGACTTTAAAAGCATACTTGACTGAAAATGAATCTCTGCATTAAAACAACAACAGCAAAAAACAGCAACCTTTCATAATCTCCTATAATGAGTTTGAACATCAGCAGTCTGCAGTAAGAAAGACTGGGTACAAATCAGGGGAATTCAAAATACCTGGTCCTTCCCCGAGAGTGGCTGACCAGCACAAATCACTCTGAGAACAAGACGTGTGATAGCCTGGGAGGCCACACAGAGCTCAGAGTAGCTTCTAAGCAGACAAATGAGAAAGCTGTCTGAGTAACATTTAGTAGCTGTAGTTAAATAACTAAACCAAAGGTTTTTGGTTATAGCAGAATAAACATCAGCATCAGAGGCTGATCCCCTCTGAGAGACATCTGGAGGTGGGAGATTCTTTGGGTCTGTTTCAACGCGCCTGCTGATTATTAAAGAAGCAATGACCTTTGTGCTATGCCAGGTAGCCATTAAGAGAAAATGCCAGGGCATGTTAATCTAAGTAGGAAATAGGTCATGGAACCACACAGGGACTGGTCAAAGAGGAATGATGACAGCATTTTTGGAAGTGAGTGAAGGAAACAATTACTGGCATTTTTTAGTCCCACAGCTGGTTTATTGTGAATACTCCAAGTCACGGACATGGAATAATGAAGGCCTGATAATATTGTCCTCTCAGATTATTTAGGGTTTCCTCTTCACCCCCTTTTTAATAGTTGCGTGAAAATAATCTCGACGTCGTGTTTGTGCAAAAATACAAATTTGATTTCCCTGCAGCTGAAGCCGAACAGGCAAAAGGTAAAACAGTATATATAACTGTCCTTTCAAAAAGTCCTTTATGTAAAAGTATGCCACATATTACTCAGCAGTAAATGCAATGCCCCCTGTGACCGACTTAATAATGCCAGATTGTTTAATCGCCAATTATTGTGGTCTATAGTTAATTATTAATAGTGTGTTATTATACAGTCGGGTGTAATATTTGTGCAGCCGTGGCAGCAGTAAGGGCATAGTTTAGAATAAAGGTTATATAAAGTCCACAGTTGTGGGTGGAGACGTGACTGATAAGCATCAGATAATTTCTCCACATGATGACTGGGGGGGGGTAAAAAAAAAAAAAAAATCAGCACAACTTCCTCCTGTATAAACCACAGTTTTACATTTATTTTTGAAATGCAGGCAAAGCTGGGACACCATTGAACCAATGTAAAAAAAAAAAAAAAAAAAGCACATCTCATTTACTTGAGTTATATCTAATATTTCTCCTTATATCCTTTCTCTGTTGCTACAAGGAACTTTTTTTTTTTTATAAAAGTGGCATCCCATCTCTGATTCTACCGAAGTACAAGGCAAGAGGCAGCTTACTGTCAGCCTTACAAGTATGTACATACAAGTCAGTATATATGTATCTTTAAAAAAACAAAACGATGCATTTTGTAACAGGTGCTCTCTCAAGATGCGCAGCCTCGTCTCCATGTGCAGGATTCCCAGCGAAAGGCTCAGTTCCAGTTTTTGAAGAACTGCTTGAAGATGATGGTCTCCTTTCCCTGTGGCAGGATTTCCACCTGTAGTGCAACGCACATAAAACTTTACTGCTTACTGCTTATATAAAAGACCTTGCAGTTGACATCATAAACTCACACGTCAGATCTGTGGCTGTAAAAATAGAAACAAAGAGGTTGTACGAGCTTTCCTGTCTACAGTAAAGAAAGACGCTTGACTGGTTTGCGGTGTTTAACATGAGCAGCTTTTAGCAGCCGTACCTGTGTTTTCATGTGAGGGTAATTCATTTGTTCGATGAATTTGTCCGCCATCTGCAGGGCCATGTCCTTCTCCTCATCGTTGGCTCCGTTACCTGATGATTAAACGAGCTAATGTTAATTAGCAGCTCTGTTTGAGAGCTTTTTCGCACACAGAGTAACTTTCAGGGTAACTTTCGATATCAGGCGTGGTGTCCCTGCTACAAGCTACCACGATGAACAAATTGTTGAACAAAAGGTCCCTGAGCACATTTACAAAAAATACTGACCCAGATACGAAGCAGCAAACAGCTCGTGGTGCTTTTACACCACAGCAGCCCTTTTCTAAAGTAAAATCGTACAGAAACACGGGTGTTTAATGACTTTAATAAGGTTTTGATTGCATTTATTATTTTATGAGCTACAATAGTTAATGTGAAAGAGGTCAGTTAATACAGTCTGATTTTCACATGCATCAGCCAACTTGGTGACCTTAATAGCTACTTTATCGCTCTGACAGTTTTTTAAAATCAACCTTGGAGCTGCTCTCACTATAGTTGTGGCAGAAATTTGGGGCTTCAGTTTTTTAACGAGTTTTTTTGCCGTTTGCTGTGTGTTCAGAGATGCTCTTCTGCTCACTTTGAACTTTAGCAAGTAGCTTTGATCATCTTTACACCCCTAAATGCACTGAGTTGCTGTCATGCGATTCACCGATTAGGTGCACCTGATGAGATGTTGGGTGAGTGCATGTTTCTATGATGTTTATTTGCGTTTGGTGTGTTGTCTGATCAGTTCAGAGCTGACAGTGTGAAGCTGTAGAAACCCCGCTGTAGCTCTTTAAGAAACCCTTACTCCGATCACATGTAAGCAGGTCCTCAGACTCACGTCCTCGTGAAACTGCCAATCATTATTTCTGACTGCGTTCATTACAATTTCATTTCATCAGATATCAAATTTGAGGAGGTGGCGAGTTTGCCGCTTGGAGTTTGAGTAGCAGCTCCTCACCTTTCCAGACGAAGATCTTTCCGTTGGAGCCGTTGTCCAGGATGAAGCAGTCGTCACGAATCAGCAGCTCCTGGAGAAATGGGCTCTTATCGGACACTTTAGTTGTTGTCATGGAACCGGTGGCATCAGACACCTGATGAATGAGCATACAGTGAACAGTGATGGAAAAGGTGGTTTTAAAACGTCAACCTTGTGCATATAGTTCTGCATATAGAGCTTACCTTGTAGAGGGAGGCTATGTTTGAGGCGTCTGCTTTGCTGTCCTCTTCTGGCGTGCTCTCTGGCAAAGTCGGAGTCTGTCCTAGGACCTGCACAGCAGCACAAAAACATCTTATAAGGACTACAAAGAGAAGCTTTTTAAAAAAACAACAACCCAAAAACCAAAACAAATAGATTTTTTTTTTAATGTAATTATTGACTTGGAAATGGAAAAAAAACCCCATCCTTCCTGAATAAAACAATCGGATGACAAATCAGGAAAACTTATTTACTCTGATCATTTCCTCCGGCTCTTCCCCCTCGTTTGCATCCACAATGCGGGCTTTACCGTGTCGGTCTATGTCGCGGATCAGCGTGGCGATCTCGCGC